ACCACATGTGAACATGAAGTTGGCCAAAGAACATGTCTAACAAAGTGTTTTAAGATGGTGCCTCTAAGCAGCCTGACGTCTTCACTCTGTTCTCCCATACTGCCAATGACTGCTCCAGGCAAACTGCTTCGATATCAATGTGTAGTCATCTTGCTTCTACCTTTCAAAGTTCATTTAAATAGACCGTTTGCAGTCTGAAATACAGACATTGGACCAATTTGAGTTAAAAATGTAGCTTCACACAGATTCTGTTTTTTTCGGACATGAAACATTTTAAAGTGAGCCATGCCAGCCATCTCAGCCCCGCTGTTTGAAACACAATCCATCTTTCTGTGCTTCTATTTTCAGACACACTGAATGCAGATACCTCACTGCTCTTTGGATTTTTGCCAGCCACTATTCTGGAGAGCTGAAATTTCTCAGAGATAAATAAGCACCCCCTAAAACTCTATGGACAGGTCTCAACTGGAAAACAATCCAAAGTAGTGTTACTGCATATTTTAAAGGGTGTCAAGCATTCAGTAACCCGGTGGCAGCATGCTTTACAAGGAGCAGAAGTGGAAAGCACCAATCGCTCTGTCATCACAAAGGCTCAGCTGGAGTATTCCAAGTGGCCGGATGACTTCATTCAACAATCAAAGAGTGTGTCTCTCAGCTCCTTGGAGGAGGAAACTGTAGCTCCCTTCAGCACTTGAGGAAACCTTAGTAACTGCTCTGTTTGTCTAGGAGTTATTTTTTCTCTTTTTGCTAGAGCAAGCTGTTACAGTGACTAAAATGACTGAGTCTTGTTTGTAGAGGTTTATGATTTTAAATATTTTATGCAGAAAAATTCATAATCAAAGCTTCTGTAGCAGTAAATCTTTCTCCTCTGGATCTTTTGGGCCTGCAAAACATTCCAAGTGAACAGATGTGGAAAATGAAAATAAAACCTGACCTGTTATCGTTCATACACAAATGGGCATGTCCCTGGAAAACAATGAGAATTTGTAGTATTAGACTGACAAACTGATGGAAGGAAGTGTTTTTATGGCCACAAGACATAAAATAATACACTGCAGGGGCCATAAATGCTCCCACTGTTTGTTTACGCTGTCCAAGTTTGTGTTTATTTTCTATATTTTATTATTAATAAATCTGCACGCAAGAGCATACAATGCTGCTGTTTGGTATGACAACTTCCTCATTAGAGAGGCAACTGCACAAAATTGTGACTTCTTGTTCTTCTAACCCAAATATTCTGGCAGTTTCTATTGACTGTAGTTTATAAGAGTCAACACACTTGACTCCCATAAATAAATAAGAACATGCAGCGAATGTGCAGAGCTGCAGCTACATCCCTACTGAAACCAAAGGAATATAACCAGATAGATAAATAACTAAAAAAAAAAAAAGCACTAACAGGGAAACAGGAGTTCCAGAAACCCTAAAAATAAACAGCTTTCAATTATGAACATTTATCAAGTGATGGAGTTAGAAAAAAATGCATTCAGTTCTGATACATTATTTTTGATATTCATGGGCACAATGCTACGCTGTATACTGCATATCTAAATGTACCTCTCAGTGTAGATTGTCCCACACAAGCATCCTCTTTGCCCCATATTTCGCGAGACATTAGCCTGCATTGAGAAATAAGCCACCTAATATACAGTTTGCATGTATAAAATAAGTGTGGAAAGAAACATTGAACAGGCATTTGATTAGAAACCCACAGAGCGCGCGCGCGCACACACACACACCTCACTGAGGTAAAATTTGGAGTCAAAACTCTAAAATTTACCTGATGTCTGTGTTTTTAATCTTTAAATGGGTGAATTTTTGTCGATTTATGGTTAGAAGGCAGAGCGTTACAACCTTCCAATCACATCACGTGTTTTGTTTCCTGTTTATTTAATTCAAACTAAACTGTGCAACTACCTATCATCAATATCTCGACTTACATTCATTTTTTTGTTAATTAAAATGATTACTTTGATAACTTTGAACCACTGCTGCATGTTAGAAAAACTCAATCTTAAAATAAGCATGATTTCACTGAACCCATTTCCACTGAAATTGAAATATGAACGTGTGTGTCCGATGTCGTCCTGTTAGTGTGGTGAAGGAAAGCATTAACTTGAAACCCGTCAGCCTACATGCAGTCACAGATTGCACTGTGATCAACAAAATACCAAAAGGCACCATTTGTCAGTTTTAGCTTAGGCTTGGTCCTTATTATAGTGATTTCTAAAAATAAGAGGGGGTGTGAATCCAACTGTAATAAAAGAGGAAAGAAGAGGCTGGCAACATGATTTCATTTCACTTTTTTCAAAATCATCCAGTTCACGCCCAACACGATCACTTGTCACACTCCTTTTGATTTTGTAAAGCATCTCTCGGTGCCGTCTGAGCCAGCTGAAATCAGATAAATAAGTAAATGCACATCCAGGGGGATAAATGGGCCAACCGTGCCACTGACTCATCCTCCAAATGTTTGACAGACAATACAGGCAGCCCCCGCAAAAGAAATAAAGCAAAACAGCCTTGAGGCAGGAAAGACGTGGAAAAATTACACTCTCGCTCCCCTCGAACGAAGCTGCTTTTGGTCTTCCTGCAGAAAGCTTTTAGTCACAATCAAAGATGAAAAGAAAACCAGACACAAGTGTATAAATTCCATTTTATTTCTACCTTTAAACAGAGACAAATCGTGGTCGACTTGAAAACAAACGAAATACAAATAAAAATACTATTTATATCCGTTGATTTGTTATCTTAATCGTAACAATCTAATGATTTTATTCCTACCCAGCGACAGTGCATGGTGCAAAACATCCCTGATTGATTAAAAAAATCCTAGACTAAGAAGCTTTGCAGTATCTGGGGTTAAATTTGTCAGTAAAAACCAAGACTGAGAGAAAAAGCGATGAAAGCGCCGATTCTTAGAGGTAACAACTGTAAATATAGCGAAGCAATTTAAAAAGTCATAAGCGTTTGTACAGCTATGAAATGGGAGTGAAAGTGGCCTTTATTGGACCGTTTTACAGTAGCCACTTACTGTTGTGGAGATAGCCTCAAGCCTTGTATAAACCCTTTGTTATCCTATAATATCACAAATTTCCATACATTTTCAGATATCTTTGTAAATCATATCAGCTTCCCCACCCACCCACCATGCACCATTCACCAGCATGCCAAGCCCGAGCTTCATTTAGCCACTTTGAAATATGAACACAAACTGAAATCACTCACACGTACACATATTCTGCAATAATGGCATCTAAGCTTGGATTTTTCTCAGTACATGAATCATATCATTTTATTTGAATATATTTAAATTTCACTTCCTGAGTTGAAATTACTCAATGTGAATCAGACATGAGCACACGATGAAATCTAATGATGCCCCCCACCAGCCTTTTTCTGCACTATCCGCTGCAGTTAAGAGTCCCACTGTCTCTCCCCTGTTAAAAAGCCATCACGCACGGCTTTCTAACAGCCACGTGGGTTTGATAGAAATCGCAGTGGGGCTGGGATGACTGTGACTGTTTGTGTACATGAGAACGCAAGGACAGATGAATGAAATCAGACCGACCAATGACGCAACGGGGCAAAAAAAAAAAAAAAAGTTTCAGAAAAGGGCAGCAAGACACCCTGAAACACTGCAGGGAGATTTCTCCAGCAGTTTACAACAGCCTGCGCTGAACTATGGCCCGCTTTCACTGGGAACACCCTGTTTGCCACGGAGGGGGTGGGGGTTGGACCAGCTCTAACATTAGGAGGTAATAGAGATGGTTCCCATTAAAAATTCATGAATCTGGAATCTGAATCAAGTCAAGGTGATCACATAAGAGGGGCAGCAGGTGGTACACTTGAATAATACCCAGCAGCATATGCTCAACTCTTGTCTATGACTCTTTTTTTAATTTTCAGTGAGAAGAAATTCTGAATGTGCTCAAAGCAATGATTGCACTCAAGCAATTAAAGTAATTCCACAATCTGGGCAACATATTTTACAAAAAGCGATCTAAGAAGCGTAGATAATCATCTACCTCGCTGCCACACAGCATTAGCTGCTCAGCCTCACGCTGGATTCACTGAGTTCACTGCACATGATTATCTTTAATATAATCCCCCCCCCCTCCCCTTGGATTTATTTATCTTCTCAAATATCAGTGTTAAAACTGGCAAAACACGAGCTAAACTTGCTTGCACCCCCATTCAGTGTGGGTTTTTACATTTAAATAAACCCACTCTTCGTTTCATCATAGAAAACAAAGAGTGAAGTGGTCTCAGCTGGAGCATTTTGAAAGGTTAGAGTGAATGAATCACCATCTCGTTTCCATTTGTTTTTATGTTTTGCTTTTTTTTTTTGTTGCTTTTAATGAGTGAAAATGTGGGGGGGAAAAAAAAAAATCTCTCATCTCCTCAGCAGGCATCTTAAGTATCGTGTGCAAAGTTCAATACAGATGCAGTGTCAGTGGCGCCTATTTGTGCAACATGTTAACTGCACGTGGTGATGTCATTTACCTTCCTGGTCCTCTCAGCCTTGCAAAAATAATCATTAGCTGCATCAGAAGCCAACAATCATTAGAAAAAAAATAAACATTTAGGATTTTATTTGATAAAAACAGCAACGTCTGGCTCAACCAGATTTGTGTTGTTCATTTGTTCACGATTTTTCCACTTATGTGTAAATGCCACTTTGTTTCCACTAGGTGTTAAACTAACCCAAACTTACACATCCTAGCTTCTACGCTTTGAAAGTCTCGCTTATAAAACACCGCCTGTCAATTCAAGGTACCACAGAGAGAGAAAAAAAAACGAAAAAAGCAGCCATTATGCGTGACAAACATAAAGCAATGGCAAAGTGATCAACATGATGGCATGCCTCAAATAAATGGTTATTTTTTATTCAACTTCAGTGAACTAAAAAACGAGAAAAAGAAAAAGTAAAACCACATTGGTTTCATTTATCTACAGAGAAAAGAAGAAAAAAAAAAA